GCCATCTCTTTCTCGACCAAAATATCCTCGGCTCGATCTATCCAATCCAGACCCTCGTCCCATACTCTCCCTCCTTGATTTTGTAGCGTTAACACCAAAATTTCCATCACGATCTACCTCTTTGTCGGGATAAGGTATAACTGGTTGGTGAACATCACGTCGTACGTACGGCCCTCGAACATGTTGATCTTTGCGTAGTTCCTTTAGTTGGGTAATAATTCCTTCCATCCGATCTTGGAGTTCTTGGAAGCGTTTGTCCATTGACGTCCTACGCTGCTCAATTCTTTCTCCGTATTAACCGGCCTTCTCGGACATGATCAAAGAAATATCTTTTTTTTTTTTTTTTTTTTTTTTTTTTTTTTTTTTTTTGTGACGAAGACTCAAGACAAAACCTAACTTAGACTCTAAGAAGCTTCAAACAAAAAATAATTTCGAATTTTTGTTTTTTTTTTTTTTTTTTTTTTTTTTTTGACACGAACAAACCCTTATTTGGCTGAAAAGAAATCTAAAGAAAAAATAAAAATTCGATTTTTTTTGTATTTTTTTGACGAAGACTCTAAATAACACAACTCAAGAAAAGATGAGATATACTAGACGACACAACAAAAAAAATAAAGATAGGTGAAACCTGTTTTGGATGTTGGCTCTGGTTACCAACTGATACGAACCCCGTAGAACTTGTTACGAGACCCAATACCCTACGCGGAAGCAAGATCGAAAACACCCAAAAACAAAGATTCAAGTTTGGCGGAAGCAAGGAACAATGACCCCATAGCTATAAAGAGCTAGAAACCATTATTATCAAGGTGGAATATTGACCCCGTGATTATAAAGAACCAGAAACCAATATTATGTCGCTAAGAAAGTTACAAGAATCCACTTGTAAAATCCCGAAGAATGCTGTAGAACAGCGAAGGAGAATTAAATCTCAAAATACTCAAATATTCATTAAAATTCGTCTTAGAAAATAAGCCAAATTGGCAACCTATTTATAAGGTCTAAAAAGACTCCTTTTTCACAAGGAAAAGGACTCCTACCTAAACTATAATAAGGAAACTTGTAAATAAGCAAATCCTAACCATAAAAGACTCTAAAACAATAAAAACATAATAAAACCTAAATTAAAAACGTGAATAAGTAAACTAAATAACTTGATCTTCAAGTCGGATCACCCTTCTAATCTCGCGACATTGGGCTGTGCACGTGCATGCAATTAAAGCTCAATTTCGACACTGTTTCACTTCGAATATCTCTTCGCTCAAAACATGAAAGTTGTAGATCTTTCAGTAAGCTTTCTGAATCATTTTGAATCATCTCAATCGGACTTCGGATGCGAGCGTTATAACCCGAATGGTAAACTCTGCCAGAATAGGCGAGAATCTCGGATGCATGGAATTCGACTTGTCCAACGACTTCTTCTCTTTCTTTTCTTCCAATTCCAAGCCACGGACTCTTCAATAGTCTTATTCAGCCCTTTACTCTCCATGGAAAGCTCTAATAATTTCTTTAAACTCGTACGCTTTCGCGTCTTCCAATTCTTGGTCATGGAGCATCTCTGGATCGTATCAATGATCCTTTTTGCGAATGCACTTTTGCGTGCATGCTTTTGTACTTTTACTTATGTGCGTATCTTTTCTAGCGATTGTTTTTGTGCATGCTTCTTGATGTGCATTCATGTCCTCGAACTGTAGTATGTATTTTCGTGATTGCTTTTGGAATCCAATTTTGACCATGTTCGAGTCCGAATTTGGAATTTTGACGTTAGACACGAATTGTAGCCAGCTGAAATAGCTGTCTTATGCCGCCAGAACCAGTTGATTTGGAGTCCGGATGAGAAAGTTATGCTCGACTTCGTGGACACTACCAAAGATGCTGAGGGATACTCTCTTTTAATTTGATTTTATTTTCCTAATTGCAACTCTTTTGTTACTCGTTGATCATTTTTGCTTCATGGACACCTAATTTTTGATTTGTACCTAAAAGATACTAAATCCACCAACTAAAACAGAAATAAAAATTAATCCAAAAAAAATCCATGTAAACGTAAAGGTAGAGTGTTATTTCTACACTCCACTGTATCTTTTGTATCTAGTAATTTTGCTGTTGTTTGGTTATGCGTATTAAAGTCCTAGTGTTGTAGTTCGAGTTTTTAAGAAAGTTGTTGCCAATGTAGTCATGCGCATGTTTTTTTACACGTACGTTTGTGCATGTCCATTTGAGCGAGTGTGTTTATGCATGTTTGTTGATTTGTATTAATGTCCTAGGATTGTAGTTTGAGTTTTCATGATCCTTTTTGCGAATGCACTTTTGCGTGCATGCTTTTCTACTTTTACTTATGTGCGTATCTTTTCTAGCGAGTGTTTTTGTGCATGTTTCTTGAGGTGCATTCATGTCCTCGAACTGTAGTATGTATTTTCGTGATTGCTTTTGGAATCCAATTTTGACCATGTTCGAGTCCGAATTTGGAATTTTGACGTTAGACAGGAATTGTAGCCAGCTGAAATAGCTGTCTCATGCCGCCAGAACCAGTTGATTTGGAGTCCGGATGAGAAAGTTATGCTCGACTTCGTGGACACTACCAAAGATGTTGAGGGATACTCTCTTCTAATTTGATTTTAGTTTCCTAATTGCAACTCTTTTGTTACTCTTTGATCATTTTTGCTTCATGGACACCTAATATTCGATTTGTACCTATAAGATACTAAATCCACTAATTAAAATAGAATTATAAATTAATCCAAAAAAAATCCATGTAAACGTAAACGTAGAGTGTTATTTCTACACTCCACTGTATCTTTTGTTTCTAGTAATTTTGTTGTTGTTTGGTTATGCGTATTAAAGTCCTAGTGTTGTAGTTCGTGTTTTTAAGAACGTTGTTGGGAATGCAGTTATGTGCATGTTTTTTTACACGTACGTTTGTGCATGTCCATTTGAGCGAGTGTGTTTAGGCATGTTTGTTGATTTGTATTAATGTCCTAGGATTGTAGTTTGTGTTTCCATGATCCTTTTTGCGAATGCACTTTTGCGTGCATGCTTTTGTACTTTTACTTATGTGCGTATCTTTTCTAGCGAGTGTTTTTGTGCATGTTTCTTGATGTGCATTCATGTCCTTGAACTATAGTATGTATTTTCGTGATTGCTTTTGGAATCCAATTTTGACCATGTTCGAGTCCGAATTTGGAATTTTGACGTTAGACAGGGATTGTAGCCAGCTGAAATAGCTGTCTTATGCCGCCAGAACCAGTTGATTTGGAGTCCGGATGAGAAAGTTATGCTCGACTTCGTGGACACTACCAAAGATGTTGAGGGATACTCTCTTCTAATTTGATTTTATTTTCCTAATTGCAACTCTTTTGTTACTCTTTGATCATTTTTGCTTCATGGACACCTAATTTTCGATTTGTACCTATAAGATACTAAATCCACCAATTAAAACATAAATATAAATTAATCCAAAAAAAAAAATCCACGTAAACGTAAACGTAGAGTGTTATTTGTACACTCCATTGTATCTTTTGTATCTAGTGGTTTTTTCTGTTGTTTGGTTATGCGTATTAAAGTCCTAGGGTTGTAATGTTTTTAAGAACGTTGATGCGATTGCACTTTTGCGCATGTTTTTCTACATGTACGTTTGTGCATGTCTATTTGAGCAAGTGTGTTTGTGCATGTTTGTTGATTTGTATTAATGTCCTAGGATTGTAGTTTGTGTTTTCATGATCCTTTTTGCGAATGCACTTTTGCGTGAGTACTTTTGTGCATGTTTTTCACTAGGCCAAAATGCATTTCAGGCGACGAATATTTGCGACGAAAAAGTCTTATTTGCGACGGAAAAATATTTGCGACGAAACGGTTACGACGAAACAGACGCAAAAAAACGTCACAAAATTGCCCGTCGCAAATATCTGCGACGAAAAGTAAAAAGTGTCGCATGGTTTGCGACCTTTTTGGAGAAACGTCGCAAAAAATTAATTTTTTCGTTAACTAAAATATTGCGACAAAACTGTTGTTAATTGTCGCAAAATCCATGATAAATTTGCGACGAAAATAAAATGTCGCTCTTTGATGCGATTTTTAGTTGTAATTAATTTTGTCGCAAAATTTAAATTAAGATTGCGACGTTTCTACAAAATCGTCGCAATATTTTTTTTTTTTTGGTTATTTGATAATTTAATTTTTTTTATTGTTTAACCTGTAATTATAAACAATACTATTAAAATAAAATTACTATAAAAATATTAAACAACTCAAATTTTATATCCACTGCTTTAAAATTCACATTTAAGTTAAATTATCCAAACATGAATTTGAAATATACAAAGATAAGTTAATCCTCGTTTTCTCCTTCTTCATTAAAGAATTAGTTGCAAGTGACAGAGGGGTCATAGTGCTCGGACTTACTTTCAATATGTAGAAAAAATACAAATCACACAGTTAAGGAGTTGCTTAATCAATATAGACTTCGTAAAAAAATCATGTTGAAAAATAAAACTTATAAATGCAATTTATACTCAGTTACTCTTACCTTCTTTTCAATTTCATATTGATGCCACTCTGTATCAGCCTTCCGTTCTTTCTTTGCTTGACTGTTTTGACTGAGAGAAGCTTCAACATCCTCTGTCCAAAGAAAAAAACTTATATAATGAGCATAAAAATGCCAATATAATCAATCAGCACATTTAATTGCAACATAATAATAATAATAATAATAATAATAATAATAATAATAATAATAATAATAATAATAATAATAATAATAATAATAATAATAATAATAATAATAATAATAATAATAATAATAATAATAATAATAATAATGAACATATGGAATCTTTATCAAGTTGTCTGATCAATTGTAAACATAAGGAATTTTTTTCAAGAAAGTTCTAAGTAGTAATAGCATTGCCTATAATGAAAGCTAAACAGTTAGACATGCATATACTTCATGTATATAAACATAGCTATAGCATATATGCATAAATGTATATACAATTAATTACCGGAGAACTGCAAGTCCGTAATAATAGAAAATTCAAGAAGATTGCAACGTAAACTATCTATAAAAATTACTATCTAAACCATCAAAATCATTTAGAGACAAGAAACGCCGATACTTGTTTTATTTTGGAATAATGAAGTTTTTAGATTCATAATGCAAAACAAAAAATGTCATAAGAAAACAAATAGAGATAAAATCACCAAATTTAGAAAGCAAACAAATCAAGAGAAAGGGAATTGCATTGCTAGTCGTAGGCTCATGCACATTATAATATACATATAGTTTCAATTAAATGAACTTATTATCGGCACAAATGCATTCAGTAACTATGGAATTATTTGAGAAATAATTTAAACCTTACCAGCAAGGTAGAGAGCAGACACAACGGGGAACGAGTGGTTTGCTACAACGAACAGTAAAGCTCGAACAATTGGTAATGTACAACGGCGAGCAGCGAATGGCGTGACAATGTGCAACAGCAAGCGGTGAACGGTAAGAAATTCCAATCCAACTACTAGCCTGGGTAAAGGGAAAACAATTACAAGTTTGTCGAATAAGATTTCAATCCAACTAACAAACCATACCCATTAAGTAAAACACATTCAAAAAAAACAAGACAAAAAAAAAAAAAAACAAACAAAAATTGAAGAACAATACAGAACCATAAATTAAAATAATTGGTCTTTTGCAACTGTAAACCATAATAAATTCATTTTGGAAAAAAATAATAATAACCCCAAATAAAGTATTTGAAAAAAAAATAGGAAAGAAAAAAAATAGTAAGACCATACCAATTGATTAGTGGGTTTCAAGTTTCAAGAATTCGGTGTGGGCGTCGGCGGAGGTGTGATGACGGAGGTGGCGTCGGCGAAGGGCGGAGGTGGCGTTGATGTGGGCTCCTGGTGCGTTGGAGGAGGGCGGAGGTGCGACGACGAAGGTGGCATCTTCCAACTGAAAAAATCATAGGAAGCACAAAAACGAATTAAACTCTAAAATTAAAGATGGAACAAAATCATAGGTGGCATCATAGGAACTGAAAACACCTTTCAATTTCGTAGTAATGCATGGAAGCACAAAAACGAATTAAACTTTAAATTAAAGATGGAAAATTTCAAAACAAACAATCAGTCTAGACGCAACGCATAATTCAAAAACACAGAAGAAAAAAAATTGAAAATTCAAGATTTTGTTAGCCTCAACAAAAGGGCAATAGACGCCTCCCAAATTAGAACTTCAGTGATTCAATAACACAACCAATTCTAATCAATCCGATCCAATAAACACACCAAACCTCAAAATAATGAACTTCCCAGATCAAAATTCCAGCCAACTTATCTCAAAAACACATAAAACCCGATTTTTTTTTTTTTTTAAGGAACAAAAAAACGATATGCCGAAGAAGATCCAACCATCAGCGCACAAATTGAAACCAGATAAATGGTTCCTGGTGCGTCGAAGAAGGGCGGAGGTGCGTCGGTGGCGAAGGGCGGAGGAGGCGTTGGTGTGAGCTCCTGGTGCCTCGGAGAAGGGCGGAGGTGGCGTCGGCAAAGGCGGAGGCCTGTGAGATAGAAATAGCGAGAGAGTGAGAGGGGTAACGGAGATTGGAGAAAATTAGGGCATAAAGATATTTAATAATTAATATATTGCGACTTTAAAATACAAACGTCGCAAGCTTGAATTAAGTTTGCAATTTTTATCTTACTTTTGCTACTTTAAACTAAAACGTCGCAAATAATGTCGCAAAATCCCCATTCTACTTGTGACGTTTTTAATATAAACGTCGCAATATATATTTGGTAAAAAGTCTTTAATTTTTTTTTTCCATTGCGACGTATTGGTATATTATCGACGCACTTTTGCGACGATAACTATATTTTCGTCGCAAATATTGGAGGGAAATATTAGCACTTAGAGCATCTCCAAGAGTGTAATGTAAAGCTATATTTTACACAATATGAACAACCAAAATCAAAATAGTGAGTACCAAGAGTAAAATGCATAATAAACAAATTGGCTAAATTGTAACTTTGGCTTCTCAAATTTGAGAAACCAAAACTACAATTTAGCTAATGCAAAAAATATTAAAATAATGTTATATTGTTCTTTATAATATATTTATCATTAAAAAATATTTTATATTGTCTTATTTTTTTGCAAATAAATGTACTAAAGATGAAATTTATTATTTTACTTAGTATTAATAATAAATAAAATTAAAAAAATATTTATCATTTTAATTAACATAAAAAATATTTCATAATGAATTACAGATTTTTAATGTTTATTTATATATATCAAGTAAGTTATTGAAATTTCTTTTATCACATTTAAAATTATTTTTGTATACTTATGAATTAGTATTATTACTTATTAGTATATTAACTAAAATAAAAGTCAAATAATTTTGTAAAAAAAAAATTATTAACACATTTTTATTAATATTTAATAATAATTGAATATCATGTAGAAATTATTTAATAAAAATAATTAAATATTATAATTGTGTAAAATATAAACAATGTTGTTGGAGTGCAATGTTAAAAGTGGAGTGCTAAAACACTGTTCATTGATTATATTATAGATATAGACAACTGTTTTTAGACAAACTGTTGGAGATGACCTTAATTGTGCGACAATATTTTACTACGAAACTATTTATGTCGCAATAATTTCTATAAATTTATAATTTCTAGTTATTTGCGACAATTTTTTATAAAATAGTCGCAAATCGTGCGACGAATATTGTTTCGTCACAATAAAAAAGTCGCCTGAATCGAATTTTGGCCTAGTGTTTGTACTTTTACTTATGTGCGTATCTTTTGTAGCGAGTGTTTTTGTGCATGTTTCTTGATGTGCATTCATGTCCTCGAACTGTAGTACGTATTTTCGTGATCGCTTTTGGAATCCAATTTTGACCATGTTTGAGTCCGAATTTGGAATTTTGACAATAGACAGGAATTGTAGCCAGCTGAAATAGCTTTCTAATGCCGCCAGAACCATTTGATTTGGAGTCCAGATGAGAAAGTTATGCTCGAGTTCGTGGACACTACCAAAGATGTTGAGGGATCCTCTCTTCTAATTTGATTTTATTTTCCTAATTGCAACTCATTTGTTACTCTTTGATCATTTTTGCTTCATGGACACCTAAGTTTCGATTTGTACCTATAAGATACTAAATCCCCTAATTAAAACAGAAATATAATTTAATCCAAAAAAAATCCACGTAAACGTAAACGTAGAGTGTTATTTCTACACTCCACTGTATCGTTTGTTTCTAGTAACTTTGCTGTTGTTTGGTTATGCGTATTAAAGTCCTAGTGTCGTAGTTCGTGTTTTTAAGAACGTTGTTGCGAATGTAGTTATGCGCATGTTTTTTTACACGTACGTTTGTGCATGTCCATTCGAGCGAGTGTGTTAATGCATGTTTGTTGATTTGTATTGATGTCCTAGGAATGTAGTTTGTGTTTTCATAATCCTTTTTGCGAATGCACCTTTGCGTGCATGCTTTTGTACATTACTTATGTGCGTATCTTTTCTATCGAGTGTTTTTGTGCATGATTCTTGATGCGCATTCATGTCCTTGAACTGTAGTACGTATTTTCGTGATCGCTTTTGGAATCAATTTTGACCATGTTCGAGTCCGAATTTGGAATTTTGACGTTAGACGGGAATTGTAGCCAGCTGAAATAGCTTTCTAATTCCGCCGGAACCAGTTGATTTGGAGTCGGGATGAGAAAGTTATGCTCGACTTCGTGGACACTACCTAAGATGTTGAGGGATCCACTCTTCTAATTTGATTTTATTTTCCTAATTGTAACTCTTTTGTTACTCTTTGATCATTTTTGCTTCATGGACACCTAATTTTCGGTTTGTACCTTTAAGATACTAAATTCACCAATTAAAACAAAAATATAAATTAATCCAAAAAAAACAACGTAAACGTAAACGTAGAGTGCTATTTCTACACTCCACTGTATCTTTTGTATCTAGTAATTTTGCTGTTGTTTGGTTATGCGTATTAATTAAAGTCCTACTGTTGTAGTTCGAGTTTTTAAGAACGTTGTTCGGAATGTAGTTATGCGCATGTTTTTTAACACGTACGTTTGTGCATGTCCATTTGAGCGAGTGTGTTTATGCATGTTTGTTGATTTGTATTAATGTCCTATGATTGTAGTTTGTGTTTTCATGATCCTTTTTGCGAATGCACTTTTGCGTGCATGCTTTTGTACTTTTACTTTTGTGCGTATCTTTTCTAGCGAGTGTTTTTTTGCGTGTTTCTTGATGCGCATTCATGTCCTCGAACTGTAGTACGTATTTTCGTGATCGCTTTTGGAATCCAATTTTGACCATGTTCGAGTCCGAATTTGGAATTTTGACGTTAGTCTGGAATTGTAGCCAGCTGAAATAGCTTTCTAATTCCGCTGGAACAAGTTCATTTGGAGTCCGGATGAGAAAGTTATGCTCGACTTCGTGGACACTACCAAAGATGTTGAGGGATCCACTCTTCTGATTTGATTTTATTTTCCTAATTGCAACTCTTTTGTTACTCTTTGATCATTTTTGCTTCACGGACACCTAATTTTCAATTTTGTACCTATAAGATACTAAATCCACCAATTAAAACAAAAATATAAATTAATCCAAAAAAAACAACGTAAACATAAACGTAGAGTGTTATTTCTACACTCCACTGTATCTTTTGTATCTAGTAATTTTGCTGCTGTTTGGTTATGCGTATTAAAGTCCTACTATTGTAGTTTGAGTTTTTAAGAACGTTGTTGCGAATGTAGTTATGCGCATGTTTTTTTACACGTACGTTTGTGCATGTCCATTTGAGCGAGTGTGTTTAGGCATGTTTGTTGATTTGTATTAATGTCCTATGATTGTAGTTTGTGTTTTCATGATCCTTGTAGCGAATGCACTTTTGCGTGCATGCTTTTGTACTTTTACTTGTGTGCGTGTCTTTTCTAGCGAGTGTTTTTGTGCATGTTTCTTGATGTGCATTCATGTCCTCGAAGTGTAGTACGTAATTTCGTGATCGCTTTTGGAATCCAATTGTGACCATGTTCGAGTCCGAATTTTGAATTTTGACGTTAGACAGGAATCGTAGCCAGCTGAAATAGCTTTCTAATTCCGCCGGAACCAGTTTATTCTGAGTCCGGATGAGAAAGTTATGCTCGACTTCGTGGACACTACCAAAGATGTTGAGGGATCCACTCTTTTAATTTGATTTTATTTTCCTAATTACAACTCTTTTGTCTTTGATCATTTTTGCTTCATGGACACCTAATTTTCGATTTGTACCTATAAGATACTAAATCCACCAATTAAAAGAGAAATATAAATTAATCCAAAAAAAAATCCACGTAAACGTAAACGTAGAGTGTTATTTCTACACTCCACTGTATCTGTTGTATCTAGTGGTTTTGCTGATGTTTGGTTATGCGTAATAAAGTCCTAGTGTTGTAATGTTTTTAAGAACGTTGTTGCGAATGAACTTTTGCGCATGTTTTTCTACATGTACGTTTGTGCATGTCTATTTGATCGAGTGTGTTTGTGCATGTATTGTTATTTGTATTAATGTTTTAGGATTGTAGTTTGTGTTTTCATGATCCTTTTTGCGAATGCACTTTTGCGTGAGTAGTTTTGTGCATGCTTTGGTACTTTTACTTATGTGCTTATCTTTTCTAGCGAGTGTTTTTGTGCATGTTTCTTGATGCGCATTCATGTCCTCGAACTGTAGTACGTCTTTTCGTGATCGCTTTTGGAATCCAATTTTGACCATGTTCGAGTCTGAATTTGGAAATTTGACGTTAGACAGGAATTGTAGCCAGCTGAAATAGCTTTCATATGCCGCTGGAACCAGTTGATTTGGAGTCCGGATGAGAAAGTTATGCTCGACTTCGTGGACACTACCAAGGATGTTGAGGGATCCACTCTTCTAATTTGATTTTATTTTCCTTATTGCAACTCTTTTATTACTCTTTGATCATTTTTGCTTCATGGACACCTAATTTTCGATTTGTACCTATAAGATACTAAATCCACCAATTAAAACAAAAATATAAATTAATCCAAAAAAAACCACGTTAACGTAAACGTAGAGTGTAATTTATACACTCCACTGTATCTTTTGTATCTAGTAATTTTGCTGTTGTTTTGTTATGCGTATTAAAGTCCTTGTATGCGCATGGTTTTTTACACGTACGTTTGTGCATGTCCATTTGAGCGAGTGTGTTTATGCATGTTTGTTGATTTGTATTAATGTCCTAGGATTGTAGTTTGTGTTTTCATGATCCTTTTTACGAATGCACTTTTGCGTGCATGCTTTTGTACTTTTACTTTTGTGCGTATCTTTTCTAGAGAGTGTTTTTTTGCGTGTTTCTCGATGCGCATTCATGTCCTCGAACTGTATTACGTATTTTCGTGATCGCTTTTGGAATCCAATTTTGACCATGTTCGAGTCCGAATTTGGAATTTTGACGTTAGACTGCAATTGTAGCCAGCTGAAATAGCTTTCTAATTCCCCCGGAACAAGTTGATTTGGAG